CTAAATGTGTCACACTCTAACATTTATTTATTTTCTGCTTCTTTGTTCTTCTACTCCACTACATTTTAGAGGGTGCATCAGCATGCATGCTAACATGTTCACAATAGATAGATAGATAGATAGATGAAAATATATGCATCGATTGGCTCTGATGTCATCCGAATTCTGAATCCATATATATGCATGAATAATCCACCTGCCAGCCACCTGAACGAATCATTTTCCACGATTTAGAGACCCTCACCCAATGTAATTCCATTATTTCTCAGTGGGATATTAAGTGTGATGATATGACAACATGTTACACTAAATTAGGCAGTTTTAAATAAACATCTATTTAATGTAAAAGATGTCCTTTTTTGGTAAAATGGCAACAGGTATTTCCACAATAGCCTGAACACAGGCTGACATTTAAATTCTGAATGTCACTGCTACCTTCTGAACACAAACTATTTAAAAGCTTCTAATAATGTTTGGATGCTGCCCATAATAAATAATGAATCATAAAAAAACTCAGCAGTCCAAAAACAGTCTTATACGTGCCATGATGAAAAGTGAAGCTTAAAATATGTTCACATTTTAGAGAATGTAATTAATATTTTCCTCATACATAAGGCCCTATATGTTATTTCACCCATCTGTAACCCATCCGCTGTTAATGAGCATGTCAACTTTTATGATCCGCGGGTTAACCTCAGTGCCCCCAGATTTAACTGCGATCCTTGCATCACTGGTACATATATTACATTTGCATATAGTTGGACAATTATTTGTTACTCTGGCAGTTGTTTTTGTTGTTTTTCTTTGTGTGTTACCCTGTCTTGTTCACTATCATTGTTTTATGTGTTAGCATGCTAACATTTGCTTGAGCGACTGGGTTTCCTAGGATTTCATTAGTTTTGCAGGCATTCAGTAGTAAAAGCTGTTAGAATTTATTTTGAAGACATGATGTTCACAAAATGTAACTTAAAACTACAAATGTCAATCTCATGGTGGCGCTAGAGGAAAAGTTAGTAGATCTCAGTAAAACTGGTCGGATTCATCCTCAGGGCACCATGAATGTCTGTACAACATTTCTTGTACAGTACAGTGTAGTTTATCTGCTTTATACTGTATAAGGAATGTCTGAACCCCCATGTTTATTTGAGGGTTAATAATTACTTTGCCATTGTTGTTACTCTAGCCAAATCTGGCAGCAGTTGTTTAGTTTAGTTATTTAAGAGATGGGATATGTGACTGGTTGAAAGGTGAGAGGCCGGTAACATTATCATGATAAGTGTCATAAAATTAAAAGTGAGGAGAAATAATAGTTTCATAGGGGAAAATGCCATTATGAAATAAAAACAGACTTTTCAAAAATTTTGAACTAGAAACATTCAAATAAATAAAAAACAAAATAAAATTGAACTACAATAAAACTTTGTTATACATTTTTATAATAATTAGTTAAGTTTTAATAACTTCTTTAATTATTTCACAAAATGTTGTTCAACTTTTATATGTATTTTACACAATTTATTCAGATGGCAGTCTACAGTCAGAACCAAGCAGTGCAACAACCAGCCAAACTAAGACGTGTTGGTCGTCTTACCTGCAGTTTGTTCAGTTGAAGAAACAACGTCTTCAGTTTACTGTTCGACAAACTTCATGAAAGTCTGAAATATTAAGTCTTTTTTTTTTTTTTTTTTTTTCCCCCTAATGTTGCAAAGAGATTGACCATCAGCACAGTCTGCAATAACTTTACACACAACAGGTCTGTATCAACCTTACCTTATACAACATCCTCACAGTTTTCCCACCACAGATGAAAGAGGAGCTGGTCAGCAGGGAGAGCAGCAGGACGCTCATAGCTTCATGTTGACTTGAGCTCAGTGAAGACCAGACTCTGCTTCTGAATCCTGTTGAAACTTTGACCACAACAGAAAAAAGAGAGAAGAGCTTCTAGCCAGTATATCATTTCAAAGCTCTGTGTTGCCAGAAATACATAATGATCACCAGCTCCTGTCTCACAACTCTCATACAGCTGAGAGCCAAACTCAGAAATGAAGAGCCAGAGTTCAAAGAAGAAGAAAAAAATCAGCAGTCACAGTCAGGATTTATGTAACTCTGTCATGGTAAAGGTTCACCTGAATACCATTGCTGTTTAAAAGTTGTTCAGATGTGACATTTGTGATCCACCACTTTGATCCATACTTGTCTGAGAACTGTCTCAGCAACTGTGGGAAAGCAGTGCCATGAAATTTTGTACAGACATTCAGGATCCCCAGAGGCTGCATACCGCTGACTTTTCCTCTGCTTCCACGTATGAGTTTCACATGTGTGGTTTTGAGCAAGTGAAGTGTAAACACTTTGTTGGGCTCCTGACTTTTCCCATCGCACCATCATCAGATCACTATTTATATTTGTCCCTCACTCTGGTTTATGACTATCTGTGACACTAATGGGATTCCCATCAGCCTCAGCTGTACTCTGTGTTTTGTGCTAATTCGCAAATGTTAGCATGTAAATGAAAAATGATGAAAAACAGCCCCACACCATGATGTTCCCACCTTCCAAACTTCACTGTTGGTATAGGGGTGTTTTTGGGGTGATGTGCAGTGCCATTTCTCCTCCAAACATGGTGTGTGTGCTATGACATCCAAAGAGTTCAGTTTTGGTCTCATCTGACCAGACTATATTCTCCCAGTATTTCATAGGCTTGTCCAAATGTTGTGCAACAAACTTTAAACGAGCTTCAACATACTTTTTCTTCAACAATGGAGTCTTGCGCGGTGAGCGTGCATAGAGGCCATGGCGGTTGAGTGCATTACTTATTTTTCTTTGAAACAACTGTACCTGCTAATTCCAGGTCTTTCTGAAGCTCTCCGCAAGTGGTCCTTGGCTCCTGGACAACTCTTCTGATTATTCTTTTGACTCCTCTGTCAGAAATCTTGCGAGGAGCACCTGGTCGTGGCCGGTTTATGGTGAAATGATGTTCTTTCCACTTCCGGATAATGGCCCCAACGGTGCTCACTGGAACATTCAGAAGTTTAGAAATACATCCGTAACCAATGCCATCAGTATGTTTTGCAACAATAAGGTTGCGAAGGTCTTGAGAGAGATCTTTGCTTTTACCCCTCATGAGATGCCCATTGTGTGACACGTTGGTAATGAGAAACCTTTTTATAGGCCATCAATTAGGACTGAACCAGCTGATATTAATTTGCACTGATAGGGGGCAGGATTGCTTTTCTAAATACTGACAGATTTCAGTTGGTTTCTTGCCTTTCATGCCTTTTTGCACCTCCTTTTCTTCATGTGTTCAATACTTATTCCCTGTGTCATTTCACTTTATTACACATAACTTAATTTATGGACATATATGTTTTGATTTCTTTGTATGTGTGGATTACTTGGGTTGTGACAATTTCATGTCAATAGCCCCATCACAAATATATTTACTGAGAAAAATATTGACGCGTTCAATACTTATTTTCCCTGCTGTATATATGTGTGTGTGTGTGTGTAGTACCTCTGTACTTCTGTATTGTCAGTGAACTACCTCCACTTTTATGGAGACCTGCTATTTTTAACTTGGTATTGCAGTTTTATCTTTGATGTTTGGTTTTAGCGAATTTTTAATGTCATGTTTCCACCACGAGACGCGTCTCCTCTAAACTCCGCAGATGGTCCTTAAATGATCGAAGTCTTTCACAAAAATGTTCAGGAAAATGCAAAGACAGCGACACCTTTATTTTCGATACTTTATCTTGCTGCTGATACTAATGTACTTTCACTTAAATAGGATTTTCAAAGCAGGGCTTTTACTTGAAATTAAGTATTTCTACTTGGTTCTACTGGAACTTTAAGTAAAGGATCTGAGTACGTCTTCCACCACTGTGAACCTACATTAACATAATCAAGTTATATTTACTAAAAGTGCATCTAAGTGAATAAAAACACATTCAAATTTGCATAGATCTTTATTTTAGTAGAATCTATAATTGACATCAATTAAATAAAAAGGAGAAAAACAAGAGCAAAAAAAATCTTTAAATTACAAGAAAATTACACTGCACCATTCATATAGTACAAAAATAGGCCTTATTTTAGAGTTATGTCCCATGTAAGATAGTCATTCTTGTACATTATTCATAGATCACAAATCTGTAAGGTACTGTGTGCAGCCACAGGCCAGGAACCTCATGAAGAGGCGGGAGGATGTCAACAGAGTCGTTTGAGGCTGCTCCACTAACTGCCCTCCCCCCCATCACAAAGTGTTTTATTTATACTTAAGCAAGCATGTGCACACACGGACGCACGCAGATCTGATTCAGCCCTTAAGTTAATGGAGATGTGATACATTCTACCTCCTCCCTCCACAGCTGCTGAACATACAGGGTGTCGCCGCAGATCTTCAAACGGGCAGAGATGACACAATGATATCAACAAAACACTTTGAACACAAGTGAAGGGGTCGATGGACTGTGACAACCTGAAAGCAACACGTCTAAACGCTAAACAGACAGCACTGAAATGATTGTCTTTGGTTACGCCAAAGATATTGCTCCTATTAACTCCATCTGACTTCATATTAATCACTGCAGACTACATCCTGAGGCAGGACTGAAGCAACATCAAGCTCCACATGACACAAATCAGTGGTACAAAAGACAAAGCCTCCATCGTGCCCACAAGCGAGTCTTTTTTATATAATCAGAGGAGACAATTTGCAACGAGCAGATTTTCTGTAACATTCCTGTTACTTTCAACATTAAAAGGCTTCACACATTAGAGCCCGTGAAGTGGTTGCCTAATAATAAGGAGCTGCGTTCTAGCACAATTAGAGAACCTCTTCTTTTTTAGTGTGTAGTTTCCATCCGTCTAGCAGTGACAGGAGGAAGCTGGCTCCTAATGGTTTTATGCAGTTCTCTGTGCTTTGGAAGCACTAGCTACTTAATGCTGGCTGCATTTGTGATTTCCTTAAAAGTTGGACACTTGAATGCACACAGCTCAGCGTTCATCAATTTAAAGTTTTCTGACTCTATGAAGCTGTAGTGAACACAACATCAAGCTAAGATGAATACATAATTTTGTGTGTGCACTTGAGGGACCACAGAAACTTCTGTCTGAACATCCCAACATGTTTGTAGGAGAAATTTATAAATCCTTTGTAAGGGAAGATTACAAGAATATACAATGTTGACTAGGCTGAGCATCAATTATCCACACTAGTTGCAAGAAATTGATCAAAGTCCCACAATTTAATATAGTTCTTCTTCTTCTACAAAAAAAAGAAGCAAACTCTGAGCCTGGAGAGTTATAATATTTTATGGAAGCAATTTTGGTGCCAAATTCAGCCCCATATCTGTTGTTTACACACTTCACACCAAGCTGGGAAGTCGATAAGATTTTGTGGCTCAAGTCTGAGGCTGCAGTTATTACGTTTTTTAAATTAGCACCCTCCTTGAATGGGGGCTAATCAAAGCCTAAATGGCAGTAGGCACTAATGTACATCACACAAAGCAACGCAGCATACTCAATATTCTGTAGCCACATTAGCTTTGTTCCTTTTGAGGGGCCCTTCCTCTAAATCCACATTCTCGGGTTGGTTTCCAACCCAGTTTAGCCAAAATGTGCTGCACCTGCAGCAGCCATCTGAGTTGAATTAAGCTTCCTGGCGCAGTGCTGTGTTTGAGAGCATCTTTCTCCGTGTTTTTGTGCAGGATTTTTGGCAGGTATTGGAGTTCGAAATACGTTATTCTCTGCTGTTTTTAAAATGTTTTTTCCTTTCTCTCTAAACACGCTTTTGCAATTTAAATCACATTCAACTCTGCATACAGTATTTATGAATAACACCTTCTCAGAAAGCTTCACGCAACAAAAGTGGTCAAATTCAAAATCGATTTGTTTTGTTGCTTGTGCACCTTCCCACCCACAGAACAAGGAGATTATTTGATTGTCAGTGAAAGAAAGAAAAAGGTCTTAACACCGGGTGGAGCCGTCTGGGTAGAAATTGTGTGTGAGAGGAGGGGAAAACATATGCCTCAAACTATTTTAGGCTGATTTAGCATTTAACTCGCTGGCTAACAAGATCTACGGACAATCCTTCTATTTTCAATAACAGGTTTTAAAGCCCATGTGTGACTGCCCATGAATGCTGATCATAAAGGCAATAAATTTTAGGAGCGAGAGGAGTTTCAGGGGACTCGAATTTACACAGCAGCTTTACAGTTTCTGAATTGCATTTGCCTGTTTCTGTTCTAAAACATAAATTTGACTTTCACGCCTATCCTCCTAAACCTTTCCAAAGAAGCGTTTTCATGTTTGACCTACATACAATTTGACCTCTATAATCATTTAACAGCTCCTCTAACAGCGTATGAAACCTTGCTGAATGATATGAGAGGTAGATAAAAGCATGAGCAGCTGCAGTTTTGTATGCATGTCATCACCATGACAACCTCTCTCAGCAAGCTCCACTGTTTTTGTACTGGAAATGAAAAAAAAAAAAAAGAAAAAAGAAAAATAATAATTTCAACATAGTAGAAAAATGGCTACACTGGATTAAATCATGAGGTGCATATTTTCGATGATAACCAGCCCAGGGAGAAAAAAAATCACTTTAAAACAATCTTCCCTAAAGGTATGATTAAAATCTCTCAGAATAAATAGTTTGCTGCAGTATCATTCAGAATATAATTAATTGGCAAGTTCGCTGAAGAGTTAATCTGAAATTCAGATTAGATGAAGACTGGAGGGTAAGTGCAGAGACGCTGATGAGATGTGGAGTCAACGCAGGATTTCTAAACTATACTCAAGATTTGGGAAAGAGAGCAGAGACTGTGAGATGAGGGAGGAAGAGGAAACCTGCACTTCAGAGGGCAGATTAACATTTATCAACCTTGTATGCCACAAACGAATACACGCACACACACACACACACAAACAAACAAACAAACTCTCAGCTATTATGATATGAGCTGTGTGTATAATGTGTGTTTGTAGTGCTAATGTGCTCTGACAAAAGGGAAAGCCTTGATGTATTGTTACCGTTTCTGCACTGTCAAGAAATCAATCACAGGTAACTCAACACCTGTCAGCTGCTTGGAGAGGCTCTTGTGCTCAACAGTCACATATTGTTCTGGGTCCCATCAGCACCTCGACTGTCTCTGTCTCAGCCCTGGGATGTGAGCACATCAGACATAGAAATTAAATATCCCCGGAAGGGATTGTGCCTCAGGGTTGAACGAGTAGCCTCTCTGTGAGTGTCTGTGTGTGTATGTGTGGGTTTTTTGTTTTTTTCCTCTTAATCTATCTTATTTTTTTTGATACCCTTCCATGTGATAGCTGGGAGGTCATAAGGTTGGGAGAATTTATAGTTTCCAAACTAGAATAAGTTCAGTCCATCGTGAATCCCAAATGTCTGGAGGAAGCTCTGCTAGTTGTGTGACTCACAGTTTGTTCTGCCAGAGCTGAGATCTTTCCAGATTGTGTGTACAATAGGAGAACTAAAGCCCCCATCACACTTAGAACAATAACCGAACAGATAAAAAGAGTGACTCTATGAAAGATGGATTCAGTTTCAAGTAAATACAATTACTGTCTCATCATGGAAAGAAGGACAATGGGGAGGACGTGTCCGGAAAGCTCTCAGAGAGTCTGCTTTGTTTCTCTGGCTGGTGACACACAATTATAAACCATTGAAGTCTGGACATTTCCTTGTCAGCCATTATGCTTTTGATTTTTAAAATGTACTTGAAAATGTGAATCACTACAGATAAGTGGCTTTTCTGAGCAGATTTTGGATATTGATGTCACTCAACAACACTTTGGAGAGTCAGTGTATCCAAAGCAGATTTCATGCCTCATAATACAATTTTTTTGTTACCACTTATTTTGTCAAAGTACTAAATGTGACAGGACCAGCTTTAGCTTCTCTATAAAGGGCACTACACTATTCATTAGGTTTACACGCTCTCATTCACACACATTCATCCAGACGTGCGCACAATACACACACACACACACACACACACGCACACACATCTCTACTCCTCACATTCAGCAATCTCGTCTGGCTACTGCACTGAGACTGAAAAAATAGGAAGAAAGCAAATAATAATCATTTGTTTACTGTAACAAAAAGCAGCTGGAGCTGGAGGGGAAAATGGACTCTGCACAGACAGACACTGTTAGTGATCGAGGGCAAGAGGAGGGAGAGAGTCAGTTTAATAGAAATGCGTCGAAGTGTGAACAAAGCAAAGCTTGGGCCATCCCGAGCTCTGAGAGACAGCAGCTTCCCATCAGGTCTCCCACAGCAGAGTGGAAGACAAGATCCTGCAGCAGGACTCAGATGAAATCCCGGTAAGACAGAAAAAGAGAAAAAGGGATGAGCGATAAAACCAGAAAAGACTGTGAAAGGACAGTAACCACAGCCCTGAATTATCAGACAAACGGGGCTGCAAGGATTTTAAAAGCAGGAGAGAAGGAGGGATGTGGGGGAGGCATTAAAGAGCACTTTGTGTTTTGATAAAGGCAGTCCTCTCATTTTGGACGTCAAACTCTTCGTTTTCGGAGTCTGTATTTACACCGTCATCCCCCCACACCGTCGGGATGCCGCGGTACGACACCACCCTATTTCCCCCGAGGCTGAAGGTGCCCCCGAGACCGCCGCCAGCCTCCAGAGAGGGCAGCTTGATGAGTGCGCCAGAGCGCAGCTGCAGCAGCAGGAAGACCCCAGCGAAGGTGGCGATGATGGCCATGCAGCTCAGCACGGCAATGGTGATGGGCAGCTGGGAGCTGAGCTGGAGCTGCAATCCCGGGTTCCCCTGGCCCACCATGAAGCTGCCAGGGGACTCACGCATGTACTGGTTGAGGTGCAGGCAGGTGCCAGAGATGGGGTCCAGTGAGCTGTGAGGCTGGCAGGACAGACAGGCCTGAGGGCTGAGGCTGCTGCAGGTCAGACAGGGCGGTGGGCAGGGCAGGCAGGCTGGGACGGAAGCTGGCAATATAAAGTTTCCCACTGTGTAGTTGAGCGGCTGGGAGCCCACTGAGAAGCCTGCTGGACATTCTTTCACACAGCCCTGCTGAAAGAGGTAGTAGCCGGCGTTGCACTCTAAAACACAGAAGAAAGAAACTGAAATAAACAGCCGTACTCACCTTTTACTTCTTCATATGAGTCAAGACTTCCCATTAACAGAGAAGCAAGATTCCTGCTCAGACTGTCAAGCCTCAGAGAGCTCAGTTAACACGGTAAAGAACGATGTGTCTGACATGTCTGTATTTATTCATCCATGGGTTGTTGTGGCACCAGGTTTTAAAGGCAATTTTGCTTCCAAGTCACCATTTCTACTTTTGTTAGTTCTACTTTTGCTTACTAAAAAAAAAAAAACTGATGACGAAAAGCTTTGCAATTTATATGCTGAGAGCAGCATGTTTAAGTGAGAAGACCCATTTCCATATGCAGCAGGTCCAGATGCAGACCATTGCCTATAATAGCAATTAACAGACTCTGGGTGCTGGGGGTAACAGAGCCACAAACAGGAGTGTGAGCCAACAGAAGCAGGAAAATCTAATTTACTGTAGGGTCTTGTTAACTCGTTCAAAAAACAGAGGAAACTATAGTTATGAGCCCCAAGCCAGAAAGCACTGTGTACTATAAGATACATGATAAACAAAACACATGATAATTACATTCTGTTCCCCCTCTGACGATTCTGTATATGATCTTGTCTGTCAGTATGCAAGTACCTCTGACAGCCTGTAGGTGTCAGACTGTCACCAGTTCAGACAACAGTAGGTGGACTTCACACTGTGTTAGTGCTCAGTCAGTGGTATCTTTAGACCTTGCCTATAGCAGCACTTGGATTTGGTAGGTGACAGCAGTTTGGACACCATTAAATTTAAATGAGATTATTAAAAGGGACCTGAAGTAAAAATTTAATTTGATCTCATCAGAAGTTAGATCTATATTTAAAATGGATACTAATACTCAAGAGACTCGGCATATGATGCTTAAAGAGGTTTAATAAGACAAGCCTGTGACTTTCAAATGAGTCTGCCCACAGTTCACTCAGAGACGCACACAATGCAAACGGATGCAGCTGAGCAAATAAGGGATTTCATCCCGCTCACCTCAAACTATCCAGACTACTTCACATATCACATCTCAACATGAATCAGTAATTACACTATCGCTCCTCAGCTGCTGTGACAGTAACGTCCTGTGAAGACCAAACCGGAGACAACAGATACCAGTCTTACCGATGCATATCTGCCTCAGGTCCAGGGTCTTACAGCTGCCGTCGCCAGCCTGAGGCTTGTCAGAGGAGCTGGGAGATATTGAGCCAGTGCCATACAGCACCAGGATGAACTGGGTCAGAGTGCCTGAGTGGAGAGATAGAGATGGAAATAAAAATCTGAAATTAACTGGGGGGAAAAAAGTAAGCCTGTCAAAAATAGTACGGCTCCGGCACTCCCTAGGGTAAATTTGGTAAATGTGTCCTCTACTCATTTTAGACTCTTAGATTTTCTGCATATAGTGACAGTAAATGATGCTGAAATGAGCTGCAATTTCAAGATGTCATGATTACACTGTGCTTAATAAGAGTGTCAAAGTGCCCATCTCTCAAGAATGATTCAAGTGTGGGGCCTTGTGAGAGGTTCCACTTTAGAAAGCCACTCCTTACTGAGGAGGGAGGTGTGAAGCACTTATCTACAGCTATTTTCTGGGGTTTTTTTGGATTCTGAATATCACGTCGTGGGTGGACCTGCTACATCCAGATTCAGACAGTTGTTGGTGGGCGGTCCAAGGGCAAACATAAAAAGTGAAGTATTCACTCCAGGGCTTTGTCATGCTCCCTGTTATAAGAAAACTTGTTACTGCAGAGCTCCACAGAGTCAGCTTCACAGCTCCTATAAAGAGGCACAAAGGCACAGGCACTGTGGATACAAGAGCCACTTAATCTCTAATCTCCTGACACTCGATCTGAACTCTAGTCTCAGATTAAAACATGTGTTAAATAACATTCGATCCGTTTTACAAGTGAGGTCATTTTATGCTGTCTCGCAGCACACAACATAATCTTAACATCCCAGTTTAAATCCACCTTTAAATCCACCTTTGTTACATGTCATACCCCTCTCTCACCTCCTCTGATCCTTCTCTGTATCTCTAGTGTCGCTATTAAATAAAAGCTACAACAATTAGCTGATCAATTGATTAGTGAATTTAATTTGCTTCCCACATAACATAATATTGCCATTACTTCGTATGAGAATTAGGATTAGGTACTTTGTTTTATGCCTTGTTTATGTTGTTATAAAGTTGTTGTTGAGCCTGGTGTTAAGATAGGTTTGATTTTGGGGTTTTTGGGGTCATTACTGTTTGTTTTTGTTATGCTTTTGTCTCTTGATTTAAAAACTGATAAATCGACTGACTGATAATTAAAATGATTTTTTTTCTATCACCCAAGTTGTTTATCAAGCCAAAATGGCAAAACATTGATAGTTCCAGCTTCTCAAACGTGAGGATTCACTGCTTTTCTTTTTTTTAATTGAATATCTTTAGGTTTAAGACTGTTAATCAGACAAAACACGTAATATCAAGATGTCCCCTTAAGGTTCTTGGACTTTTGGCCTTTTTTTTTTTTTTTTTACCATTTCCTGACAAAACAATTAATCAGAAAAGTAATCAACAATCATTTGTTGCAACCATATCTAAACTAGCAGCAAACTCTAGAACACACAAACATGCAGGAAAATCCAGCAAAATGTTAATCTCTTGAGTCTTTTCTTATCAACAAGGAAGATGCTTCACCATAGTCACTGGCACCAGCCACGTTCTCAATCTCCAGCGTCCACGCCCCCGTGGGGTTCTCATCCCAGGAGTGGGTGGTCATAAAAGCCCAGTCATTAAAACCCTCTGATGAGTAGTCATGAGGCCTGCAGGAAAACAACAAAGTGTAAATGGTTTGTGTTCAGCATCGGTTACTGTACGCTTGTGTGTCTCTGTGTAGCTGTGCGTTTGTACCTGGGGTGGAGCAGTGTGGAGCGTGTGCCGGCAGGACTAATGAGATGGATAGCCAGGTTTCCCCTCCGGTTGTACGACAGGGTGAGCCGGGCCTGAACGTGCTCTAATGAAGTCACGTGACTGTCTGTCCCGATGCAGGCGTCCACACTCATGTTAATCGATAAATGGCTGCCAATATTCCTGTCAAATGTGAGAAACGACATATGGCAAAGACACATTAAGACAGTGGTGTGTATTAGTTGTAGGTTGTATGCTGTTGAGATCATTACTGGTTTGTTCCGAGCTCTGGATGAACTTCCTGCCAGATAACTGTACGAGTGGCATTTTGCCCCTGGCCAGTGTGCGAGCCTGTGAAAGGTGAGCAGTTTGTTGCTTGAACAGGATGAGTGTCTCACAACCTGTAGCACCAGTGTCCTCTGCGGAAGCCCCCCACCCCCCACCCCCGCCTCCCGCCCACAATCATCCCCTTAGAGATTAAACGCATTCCACAACAATTCTGAGGAGGAGGAGGAGGAAGGCGCAAGGTTTTAGTGACACTGAGGTGCCCAAATCACGGACAAGATATGGTTTCACGCTCTTTTAAGACACAATCCCTCCAGGTCCACCTCTCATTTTTCATTATGGATTAAAACACTACATATATGACCTTCAAAAGCAGCCTCACATGGGAACAATGTAAAATGTTAATTTACAACACTACGCCGATGAGTCCTACAGTGACTGTCGTCATTTCATTATGATGCAAATTGACAGCAATGCGGCATTTCACTATTTCCATGTTCAAGCAAGTGGAATATGTATTTCGTGGTGTTTTGGAATAGAGTCACAACACATATGAGGAAGAAATGTAAATTTATACAAATAGCTGCTGAGGCTGATTAATCATTGCCAGTTGACCACTGCGGCACAGGCGTCTGTGATTTAAGGCCTCGGAGAAACAAAATTTGTGGCACTGTTGCAGGCATGGCATCTGTTTTTACAGACACACACACACACAGAAAGACAGAGCGAGGGATATCCTACAAACCCATAACCAGCATCTCAGTCGATGACAACTTTGGCCCCTTTTGTCATCAATATTTCAGCAGCAGCTACAGGTGAAACTCACATCTGTGACAATGGTAAACACTATCTGAAAATTTAAAGATGCCTGTAAAATAACACAAGATTTCTCTGCATCAGCATCAGCAAAACACAACACAAGCCAAAAGACCAACACAATGTGCAATGCTAACTGTATTATTGTATCGTCTAGTTGCTTTCTGCTCAATCAATCAATCACATATTTATTCCATATTGGAATTTAACATTTGTGAAGTTGTTTTTAAATTAAACCTGTTCAAAATAATAATCCTAGGAAGACACAAATGTGTATAAAGCTTTTCAGAACCACCAAAAAAAATATTCTGGGTACCTGCCAAACCTGAAGAACTGCCATCCATTTGGTAGAGTACATTACAGAGAAACGAGAGAGAGAGTGCTTCTGAATCATAAATCACTTTTGAAAAGCTATGTCAGAGCTTGTAGCTCAGGCAATACTCCAGTTAGTTGAATTTTCAGTGATACAAAATTCTGCAGCCCTGGTGGTAATATGCATTAACTCTGGCGAATCCTCCTTAAGAACCATCACATTCAAAAACTCTGACATCTATTTTAAACAAAGCCTGTCAGCTCACTTATTCAGTTCGACACACGCTTACTGGAGCTTTTCTGCTACGACGTTGTGCTTTGAAGCACGGTCCATTTTCCGAGGTAAACACAAGGCTCGTCTCACTGATAAAATTCAAATCACAGAACAGCAAACTTCTGTCACTCTGAAATTCACAGTCACAGTCTTCTGATACACAGAATATCACTCGAGACTTCTTTCATCTTCTCACTGCTACACAAGTCTAAGCAAATGGCCAAACGGCCTTGTGACTGTGATCATGAGGATGATGACGTAGTGCAGTGTGTATGGTGCAGTTCATGTTTATCTTGTATGAATTTCTTCCCTCCTTTTTGAGGATACTGTCATGATTCTGTTAGAGGTAATGACTGGCTGTAAGTGAGACAGACGCAGAACCCCTATCTGCTCACTTATTTCAAGTCACTCCAGATAAGTGAGTCAGCTTAACACCTAAATTGAATAAATTGAATAACCTGCCATGACTGCTGCTCCCAGACGCTCGAACCATCTGCTCTGAGCATCTCATAGCTGCAGTAAAAGAGAGAGAAACCTCAAACCCAGCGAGGGAAGTGACAGGGAGCGCATAATGAAGAGGAGACGTCCGACTGCGTTTCGAATGTGACACCAAGAGGAGGAAGAATAAAATGGCTGAGGAGAAATACTTCATCTTAACAATGAAAGGATTATGTCTGATCATGTTGCTTTTGCTGATCCCTTATTAAAACTCTTTATAATTTACCTTACACTAACTTGTTATATTCTCAATGTAGGTTTGTGTTATATGTTTCTTTTCTATGTGCTGCTGCACTCTTAGCTTGGGCTCTCGTAAAACAGAAGATTGTTTTTGAATGACAGCAAGGCACTTTTCAGGCTAAAGGACATAGTCTGACTTCATATCCTATTGTGCAACACACGTACCTCTTTCATTAAGACTCCCCTTCCCTCCTAATCCTGATGACATCATCGGGATTATTTTTATTATGAAGTTTATACTGTACGATAGGGCGGACACTTTTTATTCGAGATCTAAACGGCTGTTTGAATGTGGGAAAATTAAATATTCGACCCGTAATGATCTGATCTAATTCAAAATTCTGAGTGAACGTCAGAACAGACTGTGACCTGTTTTCCAGCAGGTGGCGCCCCTGAAACGCACTGTCCATCTAACATAGTGAATGCCCTGTTGCTCTATAAATAAACTAGCTAACCCCGCTGAACATGGCACCAAACTATTTGAGAGGTAAAGTGAGGAAATATTGGGTTTGACACATATATGAAACAACTGTGGGAGAGTTTGTAAAATGTAACTATCTTACAGTAACATTAGCTTGTCACACATGTGAGGCAGCTTCGGTTGAACAGAGCGACATCAATGCAGTTTAAGATTAGACTATGTGGGCTGTTATTTCAAACTAATTACTTGTTATCTGTCATTAGTTTGAACCAGATTTTCCTTTTGAAAATGTGACAGCTATGATATGTATAAATACTTATAACCAGGGTCTTGAAATAGATTTATTGTGCGTATGTGTAGTGTACTGACCTTGGCTCACAAACCATGGCGATCACACATTTCTTCTGTGGCCCCACGCTTGTCCACGACTTTGCCAGTGCTACAATTCCACTGGCATCAAGTAGACCATATCCATATGAATGGCTAACTGCAGAGACCCAGAGAGAAAAGAGGAAACAGACACATGAATGGTGGCCTGCTGTGAGCAGCACCCTCACTCTCCCGGCTCTGAATTTACAGATGAACCACACTGTGTGGATCCCATTTGAAGCTCTCACACAACCTCTCTGCCCAATTCCGGTGCCTTGCATCTCTAATGACAATTTGGTTTATTAGATGCAAAACATATTAATGAGCCTCAAAGGCATCTGGAACTGCAGAGGGCAGAAGAGATCTGGGATGGAGTTGCTGTACCTTTGCGTCCAACCCCATTGGTTCTCCAGTCATTGGTAAGCAGGTGGGCAGGGTGAGAAGTTCGCACAACCAGATGTTGCATATCCCTCCAGGTCAAGTTTTTACTGCAACATGTGGATATGCAAGCACACAAAGAGACATACACAGCCACATAAAGAGAGAGACACACACACACACACACACACACACACACACACACACACACACACACAGGACACAAATGGTAAGACTCAAACAGATCAAACAGAAGACTCTGTCAATACATCCTATAGTCTTAAGCTGCAGGTGGACAGCTGATTAAATTCAGAATACAATGAAGTACCAGTCACATTCTTTCCTGAATTACACTAAATCCGAAGTCAACATGTGTTTTAAGTGAGTTTCTGCCCTTTGGCAAAATGTCTTGTGAGGAGAAAACCTGAAAAAGTGATTATTCTGCTGCAGCTGTGTCAGTTCGAACAGACCGGTCACATAAAAAGGGTTACAGGAGGTCACAGTTGGGTTTTGCTTCTCTGCTGCGATTAACTACATCAATAAATTCATACATTTCATTGTGGATTTAGTAAAAAACAGCTTTTTGTTTGGTAACTTTGCTCAATCACTTTAAACATTAAATACACTCCTAATTATAAATCTTTTTCTGTTTTTTTTCTGTTACTCTGTTTTGTCACAAGACTATTCTGACACTCACGCTTGTCGCTCCATTAGTGCTGCGTGACTGGATAAGAATGACTGGTGCTTACATCAAATTGTGCTGTTTGTAAAGACACAGTTGAAGTGTGTCAGAGAGGGGTTAAATAGTTATTCATAAAATAGGATAATCAAGCCGAATTGATGCATAAACATGCAGCACTGCCAGTTAAAGCCTGTTTCAATACAATAATGTTAAACTTATAATCGAGCTTCAAAAAGTATGTGCAAAAAAAAAAAAAAGGACCTGTTTCCACTAAATTACCAATTTGCAGTTAGGGAACTTCTAACCACATGCTAGAACCTGATAACTGTGGGGCATTAATTCAAACTACTTGGGCTCTCTGAATATTTTATTGTATATGCAGGTTCTCAAAATGACCAGTCGTTCTGTGGAATAATTCCTCCAGAATCTAATCATGAGTTTGTTTCTGTGCAAATTATATTTTTAATACTTCTCTTCTCCACAGGATAAACTGATTTTAATCAACAAAAGTCAAGGAAACATGCAGGTAGGGAAGGTTAGAATGAGGATATACAGCTGAAGAGAATTGCAAGGCTTGGTAATGCTCATAGAAAAATGGTGATAAGCACTTACTTGGCCTCAAGGGCGAGAGCGATGATCCCAGCAGCCAGCGGGGCGGAGGCAGAGGTTCCCGTGTGGGAGTCTGTACATTTTGATTTGAGGTCTGTAGTCACCTATGGGAGATGAACACAGTGGGCTTAAAAAGACAGTTCAAACAAAAACTGATAAAGTGGAAAATAGTCTTGAAACATACAGGATTTGTATTTCACTTGTTGTTGTCGTTAGAAAAGTGCTCTTTTATCATCTTATATATATTTTCTGGACGAAGAAATTGCTGAATGGTTAAAGAAAGGGGAACTTAAGAGCACACAGTCTACAGCATGACTCCATGGACCAGCTGGAAAATCAAAGCAAGGAAATCATATAACTTATGCTCTCTCTCTTTCAACAACTACCAGTGAAGCATCTTTGAGCAGGACTCAGCCGAGATCTCGTCAGTGACCCACAGCAGAGGGCTGTGGTTGTACTGGGCAGCTCCCAGGTGTGAATTTCTGCAGCTGCATGAAAATAAAGCAATGGGCTGGAGAACCAGAGGGTTTGTACTAAGGAAGGATAAAGGTTAAAAAATACTGGATCACAAAAAGCCCCCAGTCCTCTGCTGTATAGTCCTTAAAGGGGGGTCAATATATGCAACTGAGTATGAGTGAAAAGCAGTTGGAATCAAAAATCTGCCCAATGTGCTGACCAATGCAGAGCCTCTAGAAAATGATCTTTAACCAGACGAAACAGAATAATAAATGCATCGGCAGAACTAACTTTAATGGTTCAATTATGCATTCAGGAGCTTCCCATATCTCCCTTACTTTAAATTGAAAGAGAAGGATAATTTAAGTCTAATTAAAAAAAAAAAAAAAACAGAAAAAGACATTCAGATATTCACTCCCGCACAATCCGAAGGTCCCACCCTCTCTGTGTTACTCCGTCTCTTCATTCCAGGGTTCATGAGTGACGGCACAATTAAATGAGTACAGCACTGAAGCATTAAGGGACCAGCCACATGTCACAGAGATGTCATAAGCTGTCCGTCCAGTTGGTCTGGTGTGTGTGTGTGTGTGTGTGTGTGTGTGTGTGTGTGTGTGTGTGCGTGCGTGCGTGCGTGCGTGCGTGCGTGCGTGCGTGCGTGCGTGCGTGTGTGTATGTGTCCGTGTGATGTGTTAGATTGTTAAACAGCAACAGATTGCCAGATGGACATTCAGCCGTTCACTATTCATAATCATTTTAATGACCCAAGACTGAATGAATGGAGCAGAAGATGACTGAAGAAAAGGAGGAAAGAATGAACAAGTCATGTGATTATAGAATAAAGCTGCAGAGCTAGATTCTTAGCTCCACATATCTATTTCTCTTCTCTATCCACATATAGAGCTAAAACAATTACTCAGTTAACTGGGTAGCCACTCAACACAAAATTGTTTGGCATATTTTAAAAACAGAAATATCATTTAAGTATTTTTTTAAGGTTTCAGGTTCTCAAATTTCTCAAATATTATCTGGTTTATTTAGTTTATTTTGAGAGTAAACTGAAAAATCGCTGGGTTTTGGACATAAAACCAGGTTCAATTAACAATGAAATAAAGCAGAAAATGTTCAACATTCAATCAACATTGTTAGATTTTCTCTCAATTGATCATTATATTGATGGTTTGATGGTTTGATGGTTTCAGCATTGATTATAATGTCCCATTGCTCTAAATCTAATGTGTTGCTATTGGAAAAAAAAAAAAAAAGGATTTAATTTGCAGACTGGATTAGTTCCAGCAGGTCCAAAATTCCAGCGACTGCAATTAAACAGACACTGTGGTTCAACTAAACTTCACCTAGGAAATAAATCATCTCCCAATTTTACCATAAAATTAAAGTAGAAACTCAGTGTGAATGCCAATAGTTTGAGTGAGGGAAACAATGAGAAGCAGACAAAGACAGAAAGACGTTGGATACAACCACAACTCACTATCTGTTTCTCGTTGAGGTTCCCCGAACTGTAGGTGGTGGCGAGGGTGGAGGAGCAAGCCTCACTGTACCAGGGGACATTGCCGTTCTGGGTGGAGCTGCTGATGGACAGGGTGTAGATGCTGTTGGTGTAGCCGTCGCAGTTACAGCTGTCCTTCTCCCTCCCTCCGTTTCCAGAAGCCCACACAAAGATGGAGCCCAAACCACCACGACCCTGGAGAATGCACAGTACTTTTAGACAAGCAGAAAAAGAGACGACCACAGACCCTTTCATTCATTCATGCCTCAGACCACAACTATCCAGAAAAGAACAAAATCTCATTCAATCTTAATGGGAATCCCAATTATAGGAGGGCAAATTCATTTCAGGGCTCATTTCAAAAAGAGCCCATTAGAACCCAGCATACATCACAGAGGCCGGGGTGGTCAGTCAGTAAATTAAAAACAGCTAAATATCGCATGACAGCAATGCAAAACAAAAAGGCACTATATGACAACAGCTCATTGTAATAAATCATCCAACCTCTCAGCCTTTGAAGTGCTATAATTTTCATCTAAGAGCCACTTTATTGTATTGAGTGGCACTGTCTCTCTCTGCATTGATCAAACCCAGCTATGCACCACCCACAACAGCATCTGACAGTACTGTCACTGTGGCAATTATCTTGGTAGTCAGTGTCAGCAGTTCCAATCAGCTTTATGGCACATGCCTTGAATCCTACTGGTATATAACAAGAGTTGGCTTGAGTGATGTGTTTATTCATGGCGTGCAGATGTGAGAGTCTGGGGTCTGATCTGTATGCTTATTGATCTGTTGACTTGTTCATTTTACAAATCTGACACGGTCCCAATGTACCACATGCATTAAAACAAGTCCTGCTACCAACAACAGGACTGATTACATGACAGTGTGGTGCCTTTTTGGTCAATATTCAGATTTCCATGTTCTTAGATGCTGCCAGACTAATTTTCATGATTACCCCCTTAAAATCTCTATTTTTGTATGTGCATATAGTTATGCATGTGTCTGGAAGCCTTTGATTAGAAATGCTTGTTAAGTACTTAAAACTCCAGATTGGATATTTTAAAACAACCTTGTTTTTTTTTCCAGTTGGCATGTTTTGTTGTTTTCTAAAAGGAAACAAAAAAACATGCCAACTAACTGAAAGAACTGAGAGATAAAAGATGAGCTGGCAGTTTAAGAAGCGTCCTTCAACTAACAATGAATGTATAAAAAAACTTTTCATACATAATTTTTGTGAGTGCTGCTTCTATTCATTTTCCAAAATTTTCATCCCTGGTGGCTTTTTAGAGGACATTCCTTTCCATTCATAATTGTCAGGGTCAAAAACTGCTTTGTTCTTGCCGCCTGTGTCCTCTCATGCTTGAACAGTTCAATTACTGACTGCTGAAAGGAAGCCACACACAGGCAGTAAATAATTTCTGTCTCACACAAGCACTTACATACACACGCACACACACCTCTGTAACTCCACGCAGAAAAGCTTCTTTGGCGAGTTTGGCAGGTCCATCAACAGTCTTGCCGTCGTCCTCTGGGCCCCAGCTGGCGCTGTAGATGTCAATGTGTTGGGGATTCAGACTGAGAGACTGGGCCTCCACCATGTCAGTCACCTCACCGTCCAGCATACGCACACCTGCAGCCATGTTCACAAATGCAAATGTACACACACACACACACACACACACACACACACACACACACACACACACGATGACAAAAAAGAAAGGTTTTCTTAGTACTTGCATTTTATCTTTTTAAAACCTAATATGAAATGTAATTCCTAATGAACATAGATCTAAGACTTCCACTTTAGTTATATATATATATTTTATGTAAATATCTTTAATGAAATGCTAAAAATGCTGAGAAGAGTAATTTTCTATGCAAAACCATTAGTGTCCGTTGTTAGTTAACACTGTTAATGTTAATCTAGTATGTAGTACAAGTTACATTGGCTATGCTTTATACATATTGAGCTTTCAGCAATCAGTACCCCATCACTGTTGAATTTTCAATCAAGTTGTTGGATATCTATATGAACAGTGTTGAGTCATAAGTTGCTACTAGCATGGCACAACTGAACCCCTGACCTAACTGTCTTGTTGCACTGTGGGTAATGTAGGCAACTGGTTTTTGACGAGGAAGAAGCATGTGTGGAATAAAAAAACATAACATCTCTGATTCGGCTCTGTCGATGCTGATCCACTTTTGTTAACTGTCCATCATGATTCCAACAATGTTATAGGCATACAACACTTCATACAATCGCTGGAATACTCTTTTTACCATAAAAAAACTACACTGAAACACAAACAGTGCTGCAGGTGATGGCAATCTTGCAGGATCCTGTTCCTCTATAGACTGCAGTTCAGTGCTGTGGTTCATATTGTTGACAGTGTGATCCTGTTCAGCAACGATTGACACATGTAGGGAAACAGCAGTGCTGCTGCGGTGCTGTTTGATTTGCATAGTTACACAGTTGTTTACAATGCTGCACATTGTCCATGTGTATTTGTGTAGCACATGCTGCTGGTGTTCATTATTTGTTCATCCACTGTGATGTTATTATGGAGCCTACCGTGTAAATCAAACGTCATCTCTATTGATTTGCTTTGCCGCTTGAGTTGGTTTGAAAAAAAAAAAGAAGAAATGGAACGAGATCAATTGCATCGTGGGTGAACTGCCTCCTCAAGTGTGAAGCAGATTTCTGAGAGTGAAAATTCAGATAGAAAGATGAAAGAAAGCATTAGTTGTCTTCCTCTACGTGTCTGGGTAAAATTGGTGCGGCTGTCTGAGTGTAAATTGAATCAGACTCACTCTTATTTTAAGAGACGTGAACAACTCAGCCAATGTTAAATGGCAGGCTTCAAATAAGGCTCATTTATAAGGTAAATTTAAAATGATTGCAGATAATGTGTTGTGCCAGAGATAAAACATACAGTGAACACACAGACAGAACAATGCAGGATAGATATGCAGAAAGCGAGGTGCTTGTCCAAACATATCATTTCTGCCTTAATTTCAGAGGCTTTTCTGGCAACAGAGCTCTTTCTCCTTCAGCAACATTCTTCCACAGAGAGACGTGAGAAATCAGACACCTTAAAAACAAACTAATTTCCCCTGCTGAAGTATTGCTCGTCAGGTTACTCCATGCTGCAATATATGGGTTAAAGTAACCAAGCATTGGGTCTTTGAAGTTCTCCAAAAGCATCAAACACACTAGTGAGCTGCTAGTGTTTCCATGGCAGCCTGCACCTCTGTGAGAAGGCCATGTGATTCGCTGAAGAGACTAAGTATCTCCAGTCCCTTTCCAAAATATCCATCTATCCCAAAAACCAGAGACTGATACAGGGAGTACATCAAAGTTCATTGCAGTTTTCATGTTACAAACATCAGTGTTGGCTTAAGAGGTGCTCTGACTTTCAGATCATGCTGCAAATTAAGACAAGTTATTTAAGCAATTTTCATCTGGCAAATTCTATGTAAGACAGAACTAGGTTTTCTTTATGCCATTTGCTTCACCTTTCAGGTATCAAGAAAAACAAATCAAGAAATCAGAACTCATTTTATAGGAATAGTTGACTTCTAGGAAAATATGCTTAAATAGGAGATATTAGCTTAGCACAGCGTTGTAGCTTCATTGTTAACAAACAGACATGAAACAGTCTTCTCATCCAACTATTGGTAAGAAAGCGATTACACGTCTTTCCCAGAATGTTGAACTATTCTGCAGCAAGTCAGCTGAAACAAACTGGGGCAGGTAAATGAGGGGTTGTAGGTACACGAAAGGAACTTGAAAAATTTAGTTTTGGGTGGACACCCTCAGAGGTAGAAGCTCTCAACCAGCAACTGCTGTAACCTTGTGTTTAATCCATTGTACTTTTGCCAGAACTGAGAATTTTTTTTCAACTTAACAGGGGGATAACTTTTACACAAACTTATAAATACTGAAAGATCTAAGCCAGACAATCTTTGTTTGGAACCACCATGGAGATAACAGCAGAGTCTCCTGGGTGAATAATGAGCTACAGTTCTTACATGTGGCATAAGGGCCGGTGATCTTGTGCGAAGGAGTCAAAGATGCTTTTTGCACCGCTCCCTCTACATCCAGCCTCTCTCCAATATATACTCCCTGGCCATCGAAAAGAATAAACTTGCCCAGCTGCTTTGAATTTAAAATTACTATGTGGGTTTGTGTCTGTCGGGCATCCAGCTATTGTAAAACTTGCACAAACTGTGCTCTCTTGTGTTTCTCTGCTGTGTGTGCATCAATTTAATGTTCAGTGAATGTTTGCTATGTCTCTGCACCTTGTGCCAGGGAAGATTCTATACTTGAAGCTGATACCTGTAAATAAGACGCCGGCTTCTGAATGAAAAGTTTTTGAAATATTTTGAGTGAGAACTAGCACTGCCATGAGAGGGGAGAATTTTATACCACAGACAGTGCACTTCTTTCTCGTTTCTTGCTTCACCCAGCTTCACAGTTCTCAAGGTGTAGTGGAAGAACAAACGCTAACATGAAGATATAAAGACATTTTTGTAGTTTCTGAACTTTGTTTCAGTTCTGGTTTCTGATTCTACTGATGGGGAAGAGCATTACGCAGCACTCACACATACGTGTCAGGGGCTTTGTCATGCTTTGCCAAAGTGCAGTGAGGTTCCGTTGCTTCGCTTTGCTCGCAGTAGAGTTCAACTTTCAAGCAAGCGGAGGTGTCAGCCAATCAAATCCCGTTTATGCAAATGTTCCTGCGCAGCCGCTACAGTGAATATACTGAGAGAACAGGTTGGGTGCAGGTCCAGCCTGGCATTCAACATCAAAATGGAGGAGAAGTAGATCATTGCAGTGGGGAATCATCCTGTTGTCTGTGATCACAGTATATTTATGTTCTGGGACACAAACCTGTGTACCTCCCTTTAACATTGCATGGACAACTAGCCTGGTATGTTATTGCACAAAATTGCATGCCGGTCTCTAGCCGGTTATTTTTGCGTGTCCTGAGCAGAAAACTGTGATTGGATAGCGATGCAACACATACATGTGAGTGCTCTGTTACGTGTGGATAAAACCACATATGTAGGTTTTTCCACAACACCAGCCACCTCCTGCTCCACCTGCTCCACCTAAATGATGTTATCTTAGAAATGCTGAATGCCATGTGGTACATTCCCACTTGCCATCTGGAATGATAATAAAGATTAGACTTATGGCACTACCCTGACAGGGTTCAAACTTTATTACAGCTGAAGTTAAGATGGAGGCTACTGAGATAAGCAGAGAGGTAATGAGACAGAGCATGCCCCCTCATCAGACTGAAAGCACAACACATCCTCAGCACAGGAACAAGAAATAAGCAAATCACCAAAACAAAACATGTACACAGGTACTAGCAATGTGACCACAACAACAACTAACTTTAATTCTAAAAGCCCATTTAATGTGGCTTCAATGACTGTGTTGCTTCAATGTTGGAATCATACTGAAAGAAACAACTAAAGCAAAACATCATGAAATAATAAAATAAGTTGTTTACCATGAAAAATTTATGCAAATCAACTTTGTTGTTTTCTATATATATATATATATATATCAGAAAGCCACTGAAGCTTCTTTGAAGAATGGGAAACTACAAAAACTGTTCCTCCCTGTAGGCAGAAGCAAAACAACTCATCAGGGTGCAAATCCTTTTTTAGAACAAACAAATTAATATTTCACAATATTTTGCCACTCACATCTTTTGTATTTTCTCAGAACTGGGCTGATTGTATTGAGTGTTTGCGCGTTTCTCACAGAAACAAACTGTTCATTTTATCATGAAATTATTATGTTTTCAATCAACACTGCCACTAATGGTGGTAAATGTGCACAGTAAGAGAGTCAGAAGAGAACACAGGCTTGTTACAAAGACCATGTTTTGGTTTAGTCATGATCTCTCTCGCTCTCTCTCTGTTGCCCCTCTTACAAATAACTAGGACTGAACCTATTCAATTTGTTATCTATTAATAGACCGTTTATTTTCTCAGTTGATCAATTGATCATTTAGAAAATATAGTCTACATAATAGTAAAAAATGCCCGTTAATTTCCCAGAGGCCTAGGCGATGTCTTCAAAGTGCTTATTTTGTCCAACCAACAGCGTAAAACCTCAATTATTCAATTACCAAAAGTTTAATCTGATTTGATCTTTATTTTATAGGACTTACTTTTTTTAAATCTAAAAAAAGATGAAAGCCAACAACACCCTGCATGCACATTATGGTGATGAGAGACACTGGGTGATGAAATTTCATTGGCCAGAGTGACACAATCAAATAACAAGCATGCGTCGCTCCAGAGCAGCGGGGGCCGACATCACAGCAGGGTGGCAACAAGACCTGCCAATTGTGTCGTGACAATTTGACTTCATGCCGTCTATGGCAGGGCTTAAAAAAATGTTTTGCATTGGGCGTTTTGCCTTAGACAAACTATAAAGACTGCTTTTTCAGGTTTGCAGTACTATAGTCAAACTCTGTCTTTCTGTCTTTCTTTGGAGACACGACCAGCACAACCAGATGTCTCTAAATACACTGAGTTAGCATCTTATTTTATACATCTGCACAATCTAACACAATCAAGCATAACAGCTCTGCAATAAACCCTATTCCTTGTAATATAGAGTTTTTGTTGACACAGTGTCGGAGAGGTGTTAATTCAACTTTCTGTTGGCGTCGCTAGTGGTGGTTTTGTGCTGAATTGAATGATACTGAAAGGTATATAATGTTTTGTCAGAATATTTGGCACGATATCAGAGGTGAGATATATCAGCCTTTTCTGTCTAACTTGTGCACAAGCTGAGAACAGGAAAGTTTAATATTAAGTTAACACAGATTCCCTAAAAGCTGAAGCATCGTCCCATTTCAGAAACTGCACATTACTGCACTTTTTCAATACTGTTACTCCATGCAAAACCAATACACTTACAGCGCAACAGCAGTCCACATCACAACTGTGGAGCAAATTCAGAAGATTCAGTGGCATGCTGTGCCTGGGAAATGGACTGAAAATAACACTGGCTCTGACAAGTATTTCAGCTACTCTGGCAGTCAAAAAGAAAACTGAGATGAAACATAGGTTTTCCCCTGTGACACTAAATCAATAATCCATTTTTATTTGACCATACCTCCAATCTTGGCATTGTAGGCCACACCGACTCCACAGATCCCATTGTTGGCTACTGCTGCAACCTCTCCTGCACATCGGGTTCCATGCCTAGAAAGGAGGAAGAATGAGACGGTGAGAGGCTTGTTTAAGAAAACAACTTATCCTTTATTGATATTCACCTAATGACACAGCATTTTACTGTGTATATATGTATACATACAGACAGAAACAGAATGCCCCCATCCATAGGACACATAGGATAAGTATGAAAATGATGTGAATCATATGCTATGGCCTTGAGTCACCAGATCTCAAACCAACTGGACAGCAATGGGAGATTTTGGACTGACGTGTTAGACAGCGCTCTCCACCACCATCATCAAAACATCAAGTGAGACTTGTAGAATCAATGTCAAGGAGCATTGAAGTTGTTCTGGTGGCTCATGGTGGCCTAACATTATACTAAGACACTTTATGATAGTTTTTCCTTTAATTTGTCATCTATCTATATAAACCCACAGGTAGTGTACTTGTCCAACAATGGTTGCTTGTGAAAGAATGTGCTCCCACCCTTCAGTACCGTGGTTGAGCTCTAGACCGAAACAAAACAAACTCAAGGAGACAGGATCTTGGCTTTGACTCCTTTAAACAAATCTGAATTCCCATCCGTCCAGAAGAACATACATACACGTACATTATCTACTGCCTTCTCGCATTAGTAACCTTGGAGTGCCTGAATAAAGTCAAGGTAAAAGTTAAGACGGACAACATACTGCTATTATACATGGGAGGAAACTGTGAATTAGATTCACCACTTTCACAATGGGTCTTTTATCAAGCCTGAGCCTCTGTAGTAAGATCAAGCTCCAAGCACTGCGGTGTAGAGATCCAAGAACCCGCTACAGAGGGGCTGATCATCACATTCCAGTCAGGTGCATTCCCCTGGTCTGCCAGATGGATATGCACTCTTAATGCCCTTCAAACCATGGCGCAGTCCCCACTGGATTGCAGCCATTCCCACACAGGAATGCCGGAGCCTGGGAAACACTGTGCCACATCAGGAAAAAACAAAAAACAGTGGACGTCCACTGCTGAAGGACCTATCTACGCCAACAAGCTTCCATTAAGGTGATCTGGGTACCTAGCCAAAGCAAAAAACACAGCGATCAAAACACCACATCCCCAGTGAAACCCCGGCCCTGACACAATAGACTATGTCTGTTGTCAGGATACAGGCATTTACTCTGAGATTAGTCTGCCGTAGACCAATTTCTCTTTTCTCAGTTTTGGTTTTCTTCTAATAATTCTAAAGACTTCAGCTTTCTTTAAGGACACATGTATAATAACAGAGGGTCACAGTATTGTAATTCATCTGCCAGTGCCCACATCTCTTTGGACATGGTGATGAGCTGAGAGGGTGGAGGTTATGTCAATGCCAAAGTCAACATCGGCACCACGTCTCCAATGCGTCACAGGCCGTCAGTTAGATGGAGTCAGAGGCCCAGCTACAGCGTGCTCCGCTGGTGAGAGGGTTTGCTGGATAATAAAAACACCTTTATAGACATAAAAGTAAACACGCCCACACACATATAAATGTCATCTGACAATTTTCCAGCGCACTTTATCTCAACATTCCTGGAAGTGCCGGTCCATTGACCTTGGATTCTTATGTCCTACAGCATCCGTGTTTGTGATGCAGCTGTTGATAAGGTGCAGCTCAGGTGTCTGCGATGGGATGCCGAGCATGCACAGGCCTATACCCCCAGCGTTCAACTGAGCCTTTTTTCAAATCTTCCTTTGACACATTCATTACAGTCATTTACGCGGTCGACTGACTCGCGGCATACAAATGCTTTTACAGAGGTGAAGCCCTCGGTTTCTGAACCTGATTATGCAAGAACTACTTGTATAATCAGTTTTTTGGGAGTGATTTTCATCGGAGTGATGAAGTGGATACAGGGAGATATCCTTTCACTGCTCCCACTCACTGTTCGGGTCAATAAGAATGAGAAAAAGAGTGCATCTACGTGTCAACCACTTGTGTGTGAATGAATTCTGCTTGTGAAAGCAGCTTGCTCCCTGCTATTTATTCAACATGACTTACAGGAGTCTCCAACATAAAGGCATTTTCATTCAACTATCAATTTGCGGTTAGTGAGCACAACTGCTCTGTGCTAATCCAATCAGCAATGTTTAGTGCAGCAAATGACATTCAGGGTCAAAGCTTATTTTATGGTGTGTTGGTTTAAATCATTAAGACAATATTTTCACAGTTTGGTTGTGGAAACAACAGTCTAAACAAAGGCATTGGCAGTAGTCGTCTATCATTAGGGTTAGTGTTGAAATTGTAAACCAAGACGACTAGAGTTATCATAACCAGTTCTAATAAATAAGGCAGCCTAGGGTTAGAGCTGCAACTAATGATTATTTTCATTGTTCAATAATCTGCAAACTTTTCTATTGTTTTGTTCATAAAATGTAATAAAACATGAAAAAAACTGTCCACCACAATGTCCCAAAGCCCAAGCTGATGTCCTGAAAGACTTTAGACCAATGAATCAATCAATCAACATGACATACAAAATAAAATTGTGAACCTGCTTTGACCTTAGCAAGACATTATTCTTCACAGTAACATTACCTGCACACAGCCCTGAGCCAGTAAAATGCTTCATTAAACTTGTTACTGTTAATTTACAAAATTACAAATGGCACCCATGGTAAAGATTTTAATAGTTTACGGCCCAAATCCCCAAATGCAGAATTATTCCATATCTAATTAGAAACCTTGCCTCTGTGAGTTCTTCCGTCAACAGGATGATCAGTCATGATGAGATGCCTGAGGGAGCAACCAGTCCTCTGACAATGAGGCCAAGGCATGACTGAATGTCCCCATTTTGTCTGTATGCCCACTTTTCTACTAATGACACTGTGGCATCACATGAAACCAAACCTGGATTTAACCTCCAGGCCCAGGGTTTAGAAAGGAGGCGGACGACGTGACAGGACAGCGCAGGAGATCATCACATGAAGTGCTCCAGTGAAACCACAGACATTGTCTGCAGCAACAAAGAGCTGTCTGTCACTACAAGTACATCATTGTTCAATCAGTCGTTAACAAGTCACACAGATTAATTATCAGCCTGAGAGATTCCCTGACAAAATGACAGACTGTCTGACTTCAGTTACTAGATAACAGAGAGGTCTTAACTCTCAACTGCACTCAGAAAATCAACTCTATTAATTGCAGACACCAAGTATCCCTTCTAATACCTGAAATGATTTAACCACTATTCAACAACTATGTGAACCAACCCAACCATGCTGTAATAACCATATCAAGAAGTCAGACATTATGGCAGGGAAGGAAACAGGAGAGGGTTTAGGCTTCATAAGTGAAGGGTTTTACTTGAGTTTGGTCCCATGCAACGACAATACATTTTGTTTTTGTTTAATGTACTTCAGCTACAGTTTTGGAAAGTCCTTTTCAGACACAAGTGTTGTGAGAAGTGCTATAGTATATATAAATCTAATAATTTAAATACATTAATACTTATTAATATAGAAATAAAGTATTGTGATGAAAAAGCTTTTAATTTATCACATGCATCATCATCATGTCCTTTCACCACAACTGTTTTCCTTGCACTCTCATGTCAACACATGTCAAACTTGGGTATGATGAATACTCCAGCAGCAGGCTTCAGACAAGCTTCCAGCCGGCCACAACAAAACTCAATGAAGCAACAGTCAATTAGTGTGTTTCCCTCCCACAATCCCACGCTCACAACATTACGCAAACTGTTAAGACTGAGTGCGACGTGCTTACAGCATCAGTTTTCATCTCAACACACACACCAGCAGTTATATTGTCAACAACATGCAGTTTTTATTTAAAAGACTTTCAACAGAATCTTGATTGAAGCCTTTTGATTCTTGGAAAAAGAAATGAAAATCTTTTTCAGAGAAATTTCAAAACACTCTCTGATACATTGTGCAACAACTCCAGGAATTTCCGTGTCAGATGTAATGGTGATAACATGAGATTATGTTGAACAAAGAGCAATCTCAGTGAAGTCTTGTTCTGATTACAGCGAGAACAACTCAGGTTACAGCAGCTATAGTTGGCTGCAGGCCTGAAACCAACAACACGATCAGTATTCATACCCACAGCTGGCAGACCCATTATCACTGTGGAAAACTGCCTCTCTCTGGAGACTAGCTACAGAGACATGCTATTGTCATACAGATGTATCAAAGCGGGGTCTGTGAACGTATGGAAAAGATGGGAAAAGTACTCGCCCTCACCTGCACTGACCAACAGAGCATTAAGAAAAACAAAAAGGCACAAAAGCAATTTTCTGTGGCTTATTATACAAAGATGTGCCACTGATGCTGCAGGTTTCCCTGTGCAGCATAAACACACAGCAATCCTCCAAGGTGCCGCGCGTGACAGGTAATACTTGACAAGTTCTAAATTTGGCTCCTGCAGTTTGTGATACACACAAATTGTTTTAACAACTAGATGAGATGCAATCAAAAAGAAAAACATGCATTTCTGTTTATGAGGTTTGACATTGCAAAGACACACTACAATAAATACATACTTGTCCAACATTGCATTGATCTTTTTATCTTCAGAGTCCCAGTCATCACCCATATCCGTAGTCTGGCACACAACATCTTTTGTTCATTTGCCTTCTATCTTGCATTAGCTTAATTACTTTAAAAAAAATAAATAAATAAAAAATTTAAAAAATTAAAAAACCACTGAGGCTCTCGAGGCTGTGGAAAGTGGCATTTGCTGTTCATTAGTCTCTGGGCTGCTCTGAACCTCAAAGGTAAATCTGAACAACTGTTTTTCTCTGCTCATTCTTAAGTCTGTTAATGGTTCTGCCAGTTTACTAATGAGCTGGCCTGCAGGACAAAAGGTCTGCTGATGTTTATAGAGCACGGTAAAGAGAGGAAAATGAAGTAAATGTCTACAGAGAGATTAATGTAAGGTCTGGTAAAAAAAAATTAATCAGCCTGATGTTTGCAGTACTGCTAAATAGGTCCTTTCATCCATCACTGTACATTGAATATTTCGGAATTTAAATGCACGTGGTTAGGCTGCACTTGCGGCCTTGTATTGTTTGTCTTGTTTTTTCTTTACTGTGTATCATCATCATCAAGAAAGTTTCTGCATGTTTACAGCACATGTCGAATAGTGTCATTGTGACCGTAGTTGACCATAGTTCAAATCACATTATCTTCCCCTGCACTAAATCAAGGGGCAAAGAGCGGGGTATTTCTGCAAAAGACTGTGCCAGTTTAGCCACGTTCAATCCAGAAAAATTCACATTTGGAAAGCGTCCTGATACAAGTCAGAGGAAACCCTGGAAAGAGAAACATCTAGATCCCACGCTGTCTTAGATAAACATGAGGGTGAATGGTCACATTGCTACTGAGCCATCCTCGGTGCTGCCCGTATGCTGGAAAGAAAGGCGGCTTTATAGAGGTGAACAGAGTCGTGCTTTCTACAGGGAACAGACACTTACAGTCTTACACAGCCTTACGCAGTTTCATGCCCGCCCACAGGCTGTTTACACATGCATCTGCAACAACCCACTGTAAAGTGAGGGAAACAGACACAAACACACACATTCACACATATACATACGCTCCCTCTCATTTGGTCCCGCCACAAGGAAGACACGGAGAGCTGGGTGGTAAGAGATAAGGGGCGAGGTGAGCAAGGGTTGGAAAGAGGTGCAGCCAAAATGAAGGAAACATCAATAGTAAGTGTCTTGGCTGGGCACTGGGCCACTGTGAGCCGCCAGAAGAGCTTAAGCGTGCCTTGGCATAGATTCTGGATCTGTGGAACTGCACCGAAGGGATGTTCTCCCACATTCTTCCACAAGAAATTCCATCTTTTTGGGTTTTGTTGGTGCTGGTTAAAACAGTCTCAGGCACTGGCACAGAATCTTAAAGACACTCAATCGGGCTGAATAAGAGAGTGACGGCACATTGTTTGAACTGTTTCCATGTTTATCCAAACTTCTACTAACAACTGTGTGTGTGTTTATGTGTGTGTGTGGGGGGGGTTCTGCCCACAAACAAATACACTTTTTAGTAGGAAAATAATTACACACCTTCTACAATCAGCCTCCACCTCCTATGTGCTCAACAAAGCCTTCAAGGTGTTGATACAGCATTAGCATAGTTACAGTGTGTTTGGGCCATTCTGTAGCTCTGGCTGTATCCCTCTGGTCTCCATATTGATGGTGCCTGCTCCAGGCCCCTGTCTCAGTTGGGGACGTTTGATTTCCATCCATGCCTAACTATAATCTTCTCTGCCTATCACCAGTAATCATGGTGAGCCTGGAGATAAAAAAGCCTCTCAGGCCAGTGGCCCACAAACAGCAGATTAAAGTGAATCAGAAATTAAAGTCAGAAGGGAGGCAGGCGGTGGGAATGAAGGAAGACGAACAGTGGCCCTCCAGAGCCAAGAGATTTACCCTGTTTCATTAATTCTGATGAACTTAATTCAATCAATTCTCTGCAAGGCATCACTGTGGTGGTAAACAACTCCTAATGCCATCTGCAGAGGCCACTGCAATAAAGCAGTTTTCTTCACACACTACCGTAATCCTAGTGTTGATTCACTCTACTTATCCAAGCTCTAGAAATGGCCTGGTGGCACCTGTGTGATTTAAAAGGCCCAGACAAATCCATAAACTCTGAGGTAGGAGGCAGGATTCATATCAAGAAATAACTGCCCAGCATTAATGGTGGCAATGGTAATAGCATAAACAGTGCCTTTAGACCTGAGGTCACTAATATGCGAGCCATTGTCCGGGTTCAGATCCAAAAGCCGTCCTATCTGGACCCCAAACCTATTACCTATCAATTATTGAGTATTATTAAATTTTGCCGCAGCATTTCTATTCTAACTGCCGCAGCTTTACGAGCCTCTACGGGTCATGTGATACTACTCAGCCAATCATAACAACTCAAGTCAGCGAGTGAGATACACGCACAGGGAAGAGATGGGACGAGAGTCGGAGAAATAAGTGAGGAAAGCGGGGGAGTGGGATCTAAGAGGGAAAAAAAAGGAGGCGTCAAAGCTGTTGTTGATTGTTAAGACGCGTGGAGATTGTTTATTATAAAAATGGTTGAAACTGTTAAGATGTGAAATGAGGTTAACAAAAACCAACACTTTTTTTTTAAATTTTTCTAAACCTAAGCACTTTATTTCAAGATACACATTTTTCAAAAGCTCTCTGTTATGTATTTATCACAGCCCTTATTTCCCTTGAAATGAGAAGAGAACATTTAATCAAGGTCCGAACCAACGTTCAGACTTTAGCTTGAGGAAATTTTGCCTTACTGGACCTCTTCCAATTTAAATTGAACACCCCAGCCTCAGACTCTACGTGGAAGGGAAACAGCAATAGGCCTATTTACATGTAAGTTAGCAGCTATCAGACAGAGAGCAGTAGAAATTAATGAACGAGAGCAATTTATCTTGACATGCCCCCCCCCACACAGAAACAGGGAGGGGTGGAGTGGGTGGTTCCAGGTCAGGCCAAAAGACAAACAAGAGTGGAAATGAAATTGTTATCTGTGCACATTTCTACTCTACCTGTTATCATTGAGCTGGGTGTATCGGGGCTGAGGATCTGGATCACCATCATTCACATCATAGCTGGCATCCGGGTCCTTTAAAGAGACATATAAGCTGTTAAGAGTCAGATACAGAAACAGCATTTTCTGAGTGAGGTTGGAGAGTCACATAAACTGATTTGACATTAAACAATTGTTTTAAAAAATCTGCCAAATCTTAAAAACCTCAATATTTGTCTACATGGAAATGAAATCCAATAAAATCTAGAAGGAAGACACTATGTTAAATTCTGCTCTAATAATTCTGTTCTTAACTTCCCTTCATTCAGTTTGTGGCTGCAGTAACACAGCTTCTCCATAGAAAACATAATGTCTGGACTTTTTCAAGAGTTATACTCACGTAGTTCTGCATCAGGTCAGGATGATTTTTCTCTATTCCATCATCCAGGATGGACACCACCACCCCTTTACCTGTGTAACCCAACTGCCACGCAGCTTTGGCATTCAAGTCACGGTGGTTGTTGTTGTACTGAGGATGGAAGAAGCAAATAACTTAGATGGAATCTAATTATATGAGTGACACCTGAGTGCTGACAAGACTGTGCTTTTAACTAAATTTACTCTTTAAAAAATGATATATATATACACACATATATATATATATTATTAATAGAGCAAAGTAGTGGTGGACTGGATGATGGCTCACAATTATCATTCTGTATGCTTTTTGACAAGCTTTTGACATTCAACTTGACCTTTGGTCAAAATCCATGTCTGGCTTTCATCTAGTTCAAAGCTCTTCTTTTTAAAGTGTACCAATGGTTATATCTAATGTGTCAGATGTAACATCCACCACAGTTCCCTCTTAGATTTCAAATCTTCGCGAGCTTAGTCTATCACACAGGATGAGGTTTGTTTCACAACCTTGTAACGCCATTGACACTTACACCATCAAGAAGAAAATCAATTAAAGCTGAAAGTTGTGATCTGCAATGCTGATTCAGATTGAACAAGGCCTTTTGTGGCTGACATGCTGAGTGAATAATAAATCTGAGAGAGGCATGTACAAGGTTTCATCCTGAATATTGCTCATCAAGTAAATCCTTTTCCTTCTTCCTTGATGTCAGCATTGCCCCTGCACATCTTGAGCATCTCAGCATATATATATATAAATAAAAGCATATTATATATAAATAAATTGTCTCATCATTAAGATAAATATCGGAAAATATCAAATATTCATTGTAACAGCAGATGCTGATCATTAGCACTTGTCCATCAAGGGCACCCACCAACAGACACACCCACCCTCCCCTCTGGAGAACCAGGTTAAGTTTTAATGAGGCACAGAATTATTTACTGCCGAGAGAGAGAGGCATTATATTACTATAATTACTAAACTGTTATAATATAATTGCTATGATTACCTATTATTTAAAATACACTGAATGTGTTTTGATAATGAGAGAAAATGATGTTTTATCTTGAATGCTGATAACTCAAAAACAGCTCAAGTGCAGAGACGAGACAAATTAGAGGCAAGTAAAATTGATGTCACATGACCACACAAACCGACACTAACTTCAGCCCTGATGCCTCCATTTTCTATCAGTAGAGTTGTTCAGAAAACAGTTACCACCATACAGATTACATTGAACTGCTTTTATTGTGCACTGGGGATGTTCGTCAGACAGAGTAAACTCTCTATCCATTAAATATGGTACAGACATTCTTGGCACGCAGAGGATGAATCTGGAATAACTTTTCAGATTAATGTTCACCTGACGTGCTAACATGCTATAATCCGGGTAACAACTAACAGGTTCACATGTTATTTGCGCCCATGCTGTATTCTGTTCAAAGCTCGGGCGATCCCATTACTGGAAAGGATCTGAGAATCACAAAGGTCCTGCTCCAGTTTTCAAGTCCTCTGGTGTTTAATGAGCGTTACAACCTCATGAGGTGCCATCAGATCTAAGAATAGAAATCGCTCTTTATTTTTGTGTTTTCCACTCATACAGGTTCAGTAGCTCCACAAATAGCAGCACAGTACCTTTAATAACTTTTACACAGTTTTTTTCATAGTATCATGATATATAGATTTGTCATTTCTGATCTATCAGACGTTGTGGTTAAAACAATACTAGCGCTGCAATAATTAATTGATTAACTGATTGAAAGAAAATTTGGAATCTCTTTTGATAAATCAGTCTTTTTTTATTCATGTGGTGTATGATTTTCAGTGCAATATCTGCGGTTATTACTAGGATTGGTTGATTACTTGAGAAAAGTAAAAGGCAGATTAACTCAGTGAAATTCGATTAACCGTTGTGAACGTATGTCAGAATCTGTTGCCTCTAGTAACACTGATACAACCAGGCAGTGGTCTTTTATCTGCTCGGTTGCCTGTCAAGGTGCCACCGACTACTCCAACACACGGTTAAAGCACAGACATTGTGAACAACTGGTGATGTAAGTCAGTTTTGCATCAGCTTGAATCTTCTTCCGCCTGAAGCGCCCTCACAGTAATTGAAGAAAGAGTGGAGGTGAACAGGAAATCTCAGGGGTTGTAACTGTTGCTTTTAACAGTCTAATGTATCAGTGACATTCTTCAAGCCAAATGTGAAAATCAATCAACTGAAAACAGGAGAGCTTCAAGACCTCTCTCTCTCTCTCTCTCTCTCTCTGGTCATGCCATTTATGGACTTGAGTAAACTATCACCTTCAAAAAGCATGTCTTTTAGAATTAGCAAGGTGTTCTGTGTGTGTATGCTATTGTTAAAGAAGTACGCTTCAAGTGAAGTCACTAAGATTTGTGCATCTTGTTCTGTAAACAATACACACAACAGCATTTCACACAAAGACGGTGTATTTGATTCATACAGGCTTGTCTTTTGACTCGCAGCACCAAATTTAATCACCTGTATTGAGTTTGGGCGGATGAAAGGCTCAACCAGTGCGGAGCGCAGAATTATGTCCCACAGACACACACAAATCACTCGCAACACACAAATTCTCTTCTTTCTTTTTTTTTTTTTCAGTGAAGTTTGTGTTCATACTCACCAGGTACCACTGGTCTCTGAACTTGGGATCTAAAGGTTCTATGAAAGCCTCCCTCTTTTTCCTCCGTTTCGACACCTGTTGTTCTGCCCAAGTCACCTAAGCAAAAAGAGCACAAACACATGAAGAGATTAGTAATGGCAAAGAAGAATACTCTGGCTGCAAAGTGTACGGCTCACTGTCATTAAAATAAAAAAAATTAAAAACAGAACAAGAAATAATTATGTGCTGGCCATGAGGGTCACCATGTCAAATGCATTAATAGAGATCCCAATTCTCAGCGGGATGACGGCAGACAGAGTGAGATTAGAGGCACAGGGGTATCGTGGACTCCTCACTAATGAGTCTCGCTGATGAATTCCAGAGCACCCCGAGACTAATTAAAATTTCTGGATGGGTGTAAAATGGGATGCAGCAGAATCTATTATGCTTATGGGTGAACCTAAACATGAATGCACGCTAACAATACACACACATCGGTACAAAGTCAGTACAAGTCTGACAACATGACAGCGAGCCAGTCTGCAGCAGGCTGCTGTAATATGCGAGCTCCTGCGGAAAGTGTTGACAGAAGCAGATTGCATTCAGTGAAAATAAGCCTGCATCTTACTCCCTCTGCAGAATTGTGCTTGCTGTACAGCAAAACGCCTGGGCAGACGAGAACAGAAAAATATGTCAGTGAAGGAAGACAGGGAACTGCCTGCCGCAAGGACAGAGCACCTGATGTGAAGGACAACCAAATCACAGCGCACTTCTCTCCCTCTCCATCTCTCTCTCTCTCCGCCTCTGCAGATCACTAGAGACACAAGAGTAAAAAGAGGAAAGAAGTAATGAAGGTCACATTAGCTGCTACACTGAAGCGATGCCAGTCCAACGCTACCATGATATAACACCGTAATGGAATAATTTCACTTCAAGGAACAGAGAGGTTTGTGTGTGAGTTCATGTTAGTGTCGCTCCCTTCACTGGTGAGAATCTCAATCAGTCTAAGTGGAGGAGACATCTCCACCAGGGTTCATCCGATTCTTGCTGGGAAGATGAGGTCAGCCCTGTTAGCTGCAGCTGTGGCAGTTTACTGTACACACACACAGTACTGGGTGACTGCTTCTTTGACTACAGCTGACAAAGACAAAGAGATATAACTGAAAACTTTTGACGATGTTAAGTTGAAAACACTACATCCAACATTCAACTGTGCGGCAATATGCATGTGCTTTCTGTGCTCGGGGTGACAGTAAATGAGAAATGACTGGTTACATATCTGCATTTGTACTCCGAAGATCATTGCAGAGGGATGGACGAAACAAAACCTCAAACCACTGTCACACTTTTGTCTTTCTGATTATCTCCTTGGCTTGAATGTGCTCAGAATATAAATTAACAATATATCTCAAACCACAGAAACCGGCACTATAAACTGGTGCTGATGTTGTCAGCCTGTGGACTTTTACTTTTGGAAGAAGAAAAATAATCTTATCTACCACATTCAAAAAAAATAAATGCTTGTATCCTACTGCCTCTGCATTTTTTTTTTATGGCAAATTCTCTAGCAGAAGAAGATAAATCAGGGTGGTGAATCATCTTGCAGTACAATGTGCATGAGGTCAGAGGAAGAAAATATAATATATTATATATTATAAAGGTTATTAGCCATTATAATTATTTTTCCAACATTTATACTTTTAATGTTTAACAATGCAATGTGCATTACAATGACTCCTACGCAGAGGTGGGATAAGCCTAGAAAAGTACTGCTTCTCGCAGCACTGTATCAAATAATATCAAAACTAAAATCAATGCCATCATATCAGCTAACAGCATATCTGCAATCTTCTCTGTATCTTTTCCAAATCAATAAATATGTATCTTAATCCATATCTAATGTTTAGAGGGAGAGAGGGAGAATCTCTAGAGATTCACAAACCTATTCCTTTATGTCATTATCAAACATATCTTATTAGTCTGAGACAGCATGGGGGACAGTTTAGAGACAGAGACGGAGGCAGTTGCTGAAGCTTTCACGCTTTATTATTGGCTTTCTGTTTTAAAGAAAATGGCAGTATTGACTAAAGAGGATCTCTACAGTCAGAGTGACAAAGACTCAGTTGTATAAAAGGACCAAATTCAACTTCATTATACCACTCCTCCATTTGATTTTCAGTCAGATAGAAATCTTTTTTCTCTTGCGTCATTAGGTCATGTATGTGATTTCCCCTTTTCCATTTCCTCATCTGCTTTTCAATCACATATCAAATACCTCATTTTCACACATACACAGAGTCGGCCTCTGTGGTGGAGCGTTTCCATGCAGTCTCTGTTCAAAACATGACAGGATTCTTAAGAAGACACAGGAAATGATGTATAATGTATACGGCGGTGGACTGTTTACTGCGCTGAGTGGCTTGTGTGGCTTGTGTGGCTTGTTTCGCTTGCATTGCATCGACTTTGCTCTTTAAAGTGTCTCATTAACTCCTAATTCCTTTGGTGTTGTTTTGCACACTGTACACAAAACCATCACATGTAAAAAACCTTGTAATCTTGTGCATACCTTTCCTGTCAATGTGACAGCTTCTATTCAGACTTGAGCTGTGTAAGAAATGTTACAGAAATCTTACTACGTCTATCCAGAAAGACTGGTACAACAACTGTTACAGAAAAATGATGTCAACTGGGAGTGAGTTTACTGACAGTACATGCTTATTTTTCCTCCTAAACACTTGATTTATATCTTATCCTTATTGTCATGACATGACAGTAAAAAATTAGTCTTATTTGTTGATAGAAACAGTTTCAGCAACCAAAATGTCGTCACTGAAAATCATTAACATTAAAAATACATTGTTCCTCAAAGCACTAGTACAAGGTAATAACATGACTGCTCAATCAAAACTCTTAGACTTCCTGCAAACATGTAGATTAATGTCAGTGCAGCGTCTGCAGTTCCTGCTACTTTCAACTACAGACACCTAAATGATTTTATCTCCCATGAATTTGTTTTTTGCAAATTCATCTTATAAGTATCACACCCACACACTTCTTAGAAATTTCCATCAATGCACAGCAAAGACATGATTTCCCACCGATTAATGTGTCAGAGAAGACTTCTTCAGTCCTAGTTGTGAGTAAATGATGACACAGATCAGTGGCATGGGTCGGGTGTGTTCGTAAACTATTCAAACAATGAGGATGCTGAATCGGTCAAAGAGAAAAAACACTTCCTGACCGGATTATACCAGCAGCCATCTTTATTTCAGTACTTTTATACTTGTAGGAAGAAACACTGATCACTGAAACCCAGAAGTTATTGTAAAGAGACCAAATGGGACCAATTTCCGTCAGTAATGTGATGCATCTTCCTACAAATTATGGCTGCAATCTTTCTTTAATGCATGCACACAAACAGGTGAGAATATATCTCGCTACCTTACTTCTCTCTCTTACACTACTTATAAATCATTTTCAATATAGCCTGTCAGTGACTGTCCTGTAAAATGGACTGTGATGCTTTGAATATTAAACTGAACTTGAGATCAAAGTCCTCGTCATTTTCGACAAAATGTTTTCTTCCTTCTCAGCATTCAGGGTAACTGAGAACAAGAAACAATATAAGTCGTTTTTTTCGCCACCAAACTCATAATTCATATCGAACAGATTTCCTACTCTTGGCAGAAGTGTGACAACAAACATTTCCATTTTCTATTTTGCAATTTTCATGTGAAGAGTCTTTTGGAATTCTTTAAAAGTCTGTGACAGAACACAGAGCCCCAGAAGCTGACAAACAGCATTTTCATTATAAATGGGCTTTGAAAATAGAAAATGGTGTCTATCTCACACGTCCAGACCGATGGAGTGCAGAACTAATGATCACACACAGACTGCTTGGTTTGTGTTTAGGTGCTGTCTGTCCAACAAATAGTTTCCCCACCCTACTCATTTTGCTTATCCACTGTTTTGTCCCTCTTCATTATAGAAACATAGCTTCCTCCCTCTGAGAGCAAATGGAAGATTCATATAAAACATCATTACCATAAAGGAACATAATCCCAATTACAGCACAGATCAGTAGCTATGTAATTTATATTTATGCCAAAGCTTCTTTTTTTTTTAATGTTACAGCTGCTGCTATTCTCGCCATTGTAATCAAATTGAAAATAAAAGAAATGTTTCTGGAGCCACTCATTGCTCTGCTGTGTCTGTCCTATTACTTCTCTGTTTTATAAACTAACCAGACAAAGACAATGAGGCGCAGCAAACTGCCCACAACAACAAACAAAGCAACAACTGAATAAAACACAAGACAGTAGAAGGCATGGAGGTAGCAGATAGACCCAAGCTTTAAATCTTCAATAGACCCTATTAACAGGGCTCTGTTAGCCAGTCTATGAGATCTGGCAGGGGTCCAGGTGCTTTTGTCGGTAATTAGACACTCTTCAAAGAGAGTTTACTGAGGCTTTTGTTCAGGCTCCATCTCCACCAGTTTAAAAACTGTGGGGACAGTCTCTCGAGGACTCAAAATTCCTCCTTTTTTATGTTTTTCAGAAAAGCTATGCGGGTGATGCAAACATGAGTCAAATTTGCAACGATAAGCTGGTTTTTAAAAGCTTTTATCACACTGTTAATTGCCGCACATTTAGAGAAATGTGTTGATCTGTAGATAGGAGAGAGTCTATAAATAAAAACCAGGGGATTTGGTAAATATTGCAAGTTATTGCACTATTTGCAAAGCTCCTTTTGATTAAACAAACAAACAAATAAACAAAACACAAAATAAATTCCTGTAAATTTCTGTAGGTACTGACAAGCTGAGCTGACCCTTCGTGAACAGACAGGAGGGACCTGAAACTGTAACGCTCCACTTTCTCTGAGGTGCTGTGGGAAAAAAGGAATTCAACAACAGGAAATGGAGCCGCAGTGTTCAAGGAAATCCCAAAGAGGGAGGTGGACCATTTCTAACATGGGTGGAAACACCCAGAAGAAGCTGTTACATGTTATTGCTGGTGTGCACCTGTACTGTGTAGCTGCACAGCATGACAGCACAGCCAGAGATAAAAACCTTAAAGCAGGTTGCATTTCTTCTTTATTTTTTTTCTAAGGCTGCAGATTAGCTTTGACATACATAATGCAGCTGCGGTTGCATTTGTAAAGATTTATATGGAGACATCTAAATTACTATAATTGTCCTTGAATTTACTGAAATGACTGGACACAGTTTGGATGTTACCATGTTGATATAATCTGAGAGAATGTTACAAGGCAGAGAAATGGGTGTCAGTGAGAGATGCATTTAACAGGTGCAGTACTGTCGTCCACTGAAACTTTTATTTAAACTTTTGATTTTGCTGAGGACGAGGAGAGGCTGGCTGAATTCAGTCCCCTGTCAAAACAACAACAAACACACCTCTGTCCACACACAACAATTTGCGACAATATACAAAATATTATAGGAAACCACTGAAGTGAAACTGCGATATGGAAATGGCGTCACCGTCAGAGAGTTTGCCGAACGAAGAGCAGAAATTCATTCATTGTTCATTGCTGTGAGCTGCTTAGTAATTTTAGTACTTAAGTCAAGTCAAAAACAAAGGTCATAAGGTCTTTAAAACTTCCCTTCTCTTTTATAAAAGTATTTTTAAAAAGGCTCTTCTGATAAAAGATTCTTTAAAAAGTACATCCTCTTTCTCAGCCGCACACATACTGGCTGTGTTCCCACAGCCATGAATGTTAATTTCACACTCTTCCTTTTGTCCTTCCCAATGGGGTACGACACAGACTCATTTTCAAACTAACCCCAAACACTCTTTAAAAAAAAAAAACAGTGAGAAAATATAGAAATGTGACTTTTCAGTTTAGATCAGTGAGGGAAGAGGACCCTGTTTCACAGGAGTGCATGTATCTGGGGAGCGTCCACGGCGAAGGACCAACTCACCTTCACACACACACACCCCCCCCCCGTAAAAGGAAAAACAGTGAGTGTGGATGTGGTGGCTCGTCTGAGACAGCTATTAAAGCGAGAAGGTGACAAATGAAGACTAAGGGTTTTGTTCTTTGCCCTGTGGCTGTGAGATTATTGTGTACCCCTTTGTTTCTACTCTGCTTCTTATCTGAGCTACAAACAATGGCAGTGAGTGGTGACTGAATGACAAATTAATTTAAAATCACTTTCAAATTAAGAAGTGAAAAGAATTAGTTTCACTGTAGAAGCAGCCGCTCTCTGAGACTGATGACTCGCCACAGTTCTCTTATTAAAGAGGGTCCACTTTAATATTCTCACATGTCAAAAACACAATGCTAAACCTTGATGGATAAGCCAGAGGTTATAATACTGGCTTGTTTAAGGATTACAAATGGTCTCAAAAGATGTTTAATGGTGGAACATTGACAGTTTCTAATAATGAGAAATCAGCTAGGAAACCAATTTTCAAAGCCATCTGTAAGTCCTTTGAAGATGCAGCTTGTCACATTTTTTTTATTTTTTTTATTTAAAGACATTTCACAAACCACTACCACACCTTAATTCACCTTTCCACCAAAAATATGGCTAAATAATTACTGCTTTTGTTTAGTTAGGTTTCTTTCTCCCCACAGCGTACTCTGAAGCATCAACAAACCTCACCCACATCCATGAACACACAGTCCATCAACTGGAGCCCCCAAAATAAACCTCTTACCTTGGGATCTCTTTGTAGACGGACTTGTGTCCCCCTGTGATCTGACAGCGATCTCTTCACCAATGTACGATGCCGGAAGTGATAATAGTCACCAAATACCTAGAAAGACAAACAGATTAAATCAGTTATCACATGTGGACATTTAAATCTCTCTCTCTCAGTAATCTGATAATAACTCTACACACATCCCAATAGTTGGACTTTTCTCTACCACTAAAACACCAAGTCAAAATTACAGAATGGCTAAGTACAGAGTAGCAGTCGGTACAAACACAACTGCATCAACAAATAATGCATGATACAATTAACTTAAAATAAAATAGCCATCTTATTATATAGCTGTATTCAGTATGAATACTGCAATAAAAATGGAGATCTGTCAAATTCAGGCTGCCTGACATGACCTGACAGAAACATAAATAACACCAATGGATTGATGGATAACACTGATCTGATGGAAACATTTCAGAAACACACACATATACAGAGTTAATCTATTATTCATGAATTTATCTTATTGAAACCAAAGCAGTGTTAAGCACAGAGCCCTGCATCAGCATCAACAGACCAAAAGCAGCATCAAAGAAATTCAGAAGCATCATTTATACACCATGTGTGTAACCTTTCATTTTGGACTGTCTTTTTCTCTGTAGCTGTAACTTCTCCTCAGCTAATCTGAATTTAACAAATTCCTCCCCATCCTTGCAACTGCAAATCATTTTTCGCAGAAATTTACAGCACATAATGAGTCTGCTATTAAGCCACATTAGCCAGTAAAAGGTGTTTCTCACAATTAGAGAAGCCTATTTCCATTTTTTGCACTGGTTTCAAATAACCCCCTTCCAACTCCTGGTTCCACCACACTGACTAACACATTCCCCCGTAGGAAACCCATTACACGACGGATAATCCTCTGTGCTCAGTCCAGTTATTACCACTGTGTAACCAAGGTCTTTAATATTGAGCAGTGACACACTTTACTTAAGAGAATATGTTGTCTGAGCAAAGAAAAGCACTCCACGTCACAGCAGAGCAGTTTGCTAAGGAAGACAAATCGGTGGTGTGAATCTATAATCTACTGCTGAAACAATTAGCCAATGTAATGATTGACAAAAAATTCATCTTGATAACCCATTAAAAATTTAAATGACTTAACAAGTAAAAAGACTTAACAGTTACTAATTTATAATCACTGTTAATTTAAATTCTTTGGTGTGTTGCAGATTAATTATTCATTTCGAGATAATATATAGATTAATTAATAGTGGGAGAAAATGCTGGTTGCAACCCTGATCTAGACTGAAGAGAATATGAGTGGTTGTCAAAGAGGAAAACATGAGTCCAAAGGAACATTTTTACATTCATCATTAAATACTTTGTTTAGCAACCAGCTAATCCAACATCTATGAAGGTACTTGGTTGGTGTTGACAGCTCCATATGCTATGAATTGTTAATTAATGATTTTCGCTAAAGAGAAAACGAGGAAATGAAAAACAGAGACAAAATTACCACTGCACACAGGCTTGCGATGTACAGAGTTAACCATAATTATAGGAAGCATAAACATATGAAGATGTGGTGTAAAAAAAGGAGAAAAAATCATTTACATTTTTGTCATAAGACAGGGACGCCTTGTGTCCCAGCAAAGGTTGATGTAGAGCTAAGGTACTGCAGCATGTACTGCAACATTCCTTCACTGCAAAAGGGCCTCGGATCAGTCCCCCAACCTCCTCTGCTCCCATTTAATCACAGTAAACAGGCCGATTCCAGCCAGGCTGACACAAAAGGCCCCTGCACACAAAGCCAGTGGACAATAGGGAAGCAATATCCAAGAGGGAAGACACACTTTACAGTGATATTCAAGCTCAGACGTGGAACCAACACAAGTCTGTGTGTGTGTGTGTGTCAGTGAGTGAATGTGTAAAACCATTAAAGAACAAGACCAAGGAGAAAGCGCAGGTTACAAAAGGGAATAAAACGCTGACATCCAACGGAATTAACTAATCCAACGGCCCCTTTTCTGAAGAAGAGAAGAATAATAGCAGGTAGTGGGTTCACTGTGTTAGCCCAGTTAAGAGCCTGAGAGGTGGGACACTGATCAAAGACATGGATGGCATTAAGAAACTCTAAATAAAACTACAACCAATGAAAAGATATTCTTAAAAACAAAGCATTAATGGTTGATTCATCCATTCAGCCGGTGTTTTCGAATATAACTTATCACAGTTCAAACTAAAATAAAAACTATTGGTGATGCATTTCAAGGCCCATTTTTATATTTTATTTATATCCCATAGAGGATGTTTCCAGGGCGACAAGAAGCGGTTTGATAGAATGTAAAAAATAAATTTTAAAAAAAATAAAGAAAGATCAAATCACCGTTCTTTGTCTCTTTTTGTCCATTGGAAAACAACTCTCTCTCTGCTACTGCCAATTGCTGCCTTCACACTGAAGTATAGTCGTCTAAGAAGCGTGACAAGTTCACAAACATCTGCAGGTTGTCAAAAAAGACTGCTGGCTAATGTAGGACATCACTATCTGATGGGAAAATTTGGGTAAAATACTATTATACTAATTTACTTAGCCAACTTATTTCTACACATCTACATTTTTTTGAGAAAATAACCTGTCATTAGGTCTTAGAATAGACAGAAAATTTTGCATGGATACTGGCAACAATTATCACAACTGCACTGCAAACGCAAGTCAAGACGGAGCAACCTCAGACTGAACAGAGATTATCATGAACCCCCCCCCCAAAAAAAAAACACATAAATGCATACATTTACACATATACACATATAGGGACAAAGGTCATGTCACATTAAACAGCTCAGCTGTTTCAAACATATGCACCCACACACACAAACGCACAGATTCCCCTCACTGAACAAAATGAAGCCAATTCTAGCGCTGCTAAATGTCTACCCTGCAGCTCAATCATCATCTGGCAATCAGCAGCGACACTTAAGAGCACATGTCTTCAACCATGTAATCTCAAGACCACAATGTTTCTGTGGAGTTTAACCTTTTTTCCACTGGGGGAAAAAAAAAAGCCCATTTACGACAAAGACATTTAGATGGAAAAATGATGTGGAAACAAACGAATTCAGGACTTGTGAGTGACCACTGCTGATGCGATAAGCCAGGCACTGATAGAGCAGAACAAGCTTAACTGGTGCTCGCCGAGTAGCCTATTATTGAAGTGAGGAATTAATCCATCAACCTCATTAAAATGCACGGTAACAGACAGTGGAAAATTACTGTCTGCTGGTTTGTTTGCATGTTTGCTCCCTCCCCGTCTGCCAAATTTACCTTGTGGGAAAGCACTTATCAAGAGGTCTGGTTTCTCATCTCCAGTGACTGTTGACACAATTATGTTTTACAAAGAGCCAAACAATGTCTGGAGACAAATTGTGAAAGAGGTTTGGAGACTGCAATAAAATGATATGAAACTGTTTTCCATATGGACTCGTGAACGTGAAGAACAAAGCCTGTGGATTTTGAAAATGACTCTTGAGGAGGAGGCCATTATTGCAGTTAAAGCACAGACACATCAATCATGACACATTTCCTTTCAGTTTTGACGTTTAACTGCATTTGATTTGTGGGACACAACCGTATTTCGTTTGTGCATCAGCGAGTTGAGATAAATTGAGAAAATGGGACTTGCGCAGGCACAAGCCTCGTAAAATAGTTCAGCAACTTGTTTATATAATGAGGCTGGAGTCTAATTACTCGCTGCGGTGAATGGGTAGAACAGGGGCATGGACCGCCACAGTGGCAGCTGGACATAACCAGCAGTTTCTTTTAATGCAGGGCAGAGCAGACTGAGCTGCCCCACACACCTGAAAATGGGTTTGCACAGCTGGTCTTTCTTTCTGCCAAACCATGCTTAGTCATTGCATCTTCTCTCTTCATTGTGTTCCCCCCCCCCATTATTTGTCCTACAGCAGTCACTCTGTCTCTCCTTACTCATTAACCTTCAGCTTTATTTGGCATCTACATTATATGCACTTTATTACAACATAAGCTCCACAGTTTTGGTAGCCTTCACACTGCAGAGATATACAGATGTAGGTGAAGTGGCGGCTAGTACGCAGAATATTTGTCCAAATACATCTAAAGCATGTAAAGGATAAACTATTAAGTTTATGAAGCCATATAAGGGAAACTCCAGCTACTTTATTCATCAACATGCTGTCCATTCCCAACAAGCTACTGGCCACATTCCTCTACTGTGTTTATTCAGTAAACACAGATTGTGACTCTTGGCGCAGTCCACCGTTCGGCTCGATTGTTCTGAAGAAGTCAGATTAGTCCATTTAATGGTTTTGACAAAAAAAGTGGATTGAATGGGATGGTGAAATATGGGACATTTGAACAGTAAGGACAGCCGAGAAATGCCCCAAAGACATCAATATCCACGGTGGCTTCAGTGAGTGTATTCAGCCCCTTTTACTTTGTTGTGGGTTTAATAATTTAATGGATAAAATTAAGATACATATCAAGGATGATTGAGAAAAAATTAAAGCAAACACCTGTTATTTCATTTCTAATAATTTGCAAAATTTTCTAAAAAAAACAGTTTTTTTGTCAATATTGAGTGTAGGGTGATGAACATGATGGATGATTTTCTCTTTTTTTCAGTTTTTTTCCACTATACAAAGGGTCAGACAGGTGAGATTGTGATTAGAGTGATCGCTGTTCAGCCAGTGTTTTGCAGCTGACTGAGCGTTGCAGTGCACAAAAACCATGATTTTCTCTTCTGGAGATTTTTGAGTATCATGCAATTATCACGTCTCAATCATCATACATAAAAATAAAAATAAAAGATATTCTGAACTCTTAAATGTATCTTTTCTACTCATTTGCACAATGAACCTTGTGCCGTCTTGTCACAGCAAATATTTTGTTCTGCTTTCATCAGATTACTTTGTGCCAAGTGCTCTTCTGTTTGCAGATGATTAGCTCTCCCATTTCTGCAGCCTTGCTATCTATTCACCTGTTCCCAATTTCCACACCATTGTGGCTCCCCAATCAAATAACCTTCCCTCTCGGGTCAAGACTGCAGAGTTGCAAACCCTTCACTTCTGCT